TCACCCGCACACCCCCTCACGCGATACTCTCCGTCAGGTATTTATACAGCAGTAAGTGTAAATTAACAATCACAGGCTAAGCAAAGACAAAAGTATTGTTTATACAAATAGAAAATAAAGATAAAAGTATGGAATAACAGTCTCACAGAGCAGACAAAACTATTTTCTATGGATATTGTAAAACTATATAAATGTAGGATAATTCAAGTCGTAAATGGAAAGGATACTCTTATCAGGCACTGCAGATCATACGATGCAGAAAATCTTAAGAATAAACACGCTGAATTATTCATTGAGTCGCCTGACTTAAAGCATACCCACATCGTAATAAATACACTAGTATATCCAGCATTACTATACTTGTTCCTAGTACTTAAATTATTGGATTCTACCTATTATTTGATGATAAAAATGAGAGAGACATAACAGAGAAACAAAAGACTAGCAAGGCTGCGAAGACGCGCTCGGCAACAGCAGAACAAAGGATGTGCGCGCGCTAAAAATCATACTCTGAACCACAAGCCGCATGGGCGTTACCGATCGATGACAAGTGTAAATCTCAGACTTTCTATGGGTTTTGATGGATTTGAAGCAGATATTTTCGGGTAGTCAATTCCTAGAAAATATTATGAACTTCACTTTCCTTTATCTTAAACACAGTACTGTACTACGTTCTCTAATGTATCGGGTTAGTAGTAGCGTACATAATGCATGACGTCATCTAATTTAACATTAATGGCGCCCCTGTCTGGTTATGTTTATTTTCCAACAACAACAATCGTAAGAAGACAAAAAACCCTATGCTCTATTGTACTCATCATATCAGCACCATTTTCCTCATTTTACTTATATTATGGAAAGCATAAAGTGTAAGACAGTGTAAATTTTAGTTGAGATAATCACGGTCAGAAATTGCAGTGCATGCTGGGCAACCGTCCCAAGTTTACCCTGTGGAGTCAGTCACAACGCCACGGACCTTTCCCCCGTCTCACTCTTGCAACTTCTCGTTTCCCCTGAAGCTATTTTTTTTTTGTTCTCTTCAACACGCTTCTATGTACTGTACATTAATTAACTCCGCCTTCTCTCTCAACAGGTCATTACTTCTTCTTAGTGTTCTTTTAAGTCACCCAGTTGACATACCTTCATTCTTCACTTTTGGGACTTCATTCTTCACTGCTGGAACCCATCTTCATTCTTCATTGCTGGAACTCTTCTTCATTCTTCAGTGCTGGAACACCTCTTCATTCTTCAGTACTGGAACACCTCTTCATTCTTCACTGCTGGAACCCATCTTCATTCTTCATTGTTGGAACTCTTCTTCATTCTTCAGTGCTGGAACACCTCTTCATTCTTCAGTACTGGAACACCTCTTCATTCTTCACTGCTGGAACCCATCTTCATTCTTCATTGCTGGAACTCTTCTTCATTCTTCAGTGCTGGAACACCTCTTCATTCTTCACTGCTGAAACACATCTTCATTCATCACTGCTGGAACTCTTCATTCTTCACTGCTGGAACGCCTTTTCATTCTTCACTGCTGGAACTCTTCATTCTTCACTGCTGGAACACATCTTCATTCTTCACTGCTGGAACTCTTCATTCTTCACTGCTGGTACTCGTCATTCTTCACTGCTGGAACATCTTTTCATTCTTTACTGTGGTAACATTTCTTCATTCTTCACTGCTGGAACGCCTTTTCATTCTTCACTGCTGGAACTCTTCATTCTTCACTGCTGAAATACATCTTCATTCTTCACTGCTGAACTCTTCATTCTTCACTGCTGGAACTCTTCATTCTTCACTGCTGGAACTCTTCATTCTTCACTGCTGGAACACATTTTCATTCTTCACTGCTGGAACGCTTCATTCTTCACTGCTGGAACACATCTTCATTCTTCACTGCTGGAACACGTCATTCTTCACTGCTGGAACTCTTCTTCATTCTTCACTGCTGGAACTCTTCATTCTTCACTGCTGGAACACATTTTCATTCTTCACTGCTGGAACACCTCTTCATTCTTCACTTCTGGAACACCTATTCATTCTTCACTGCTGGAACTCGTCATTCTTCACTGCTGGAACTCGTCATTCTTCACTGCTGGAACTCGTCATTCTTCACTGCTGGAACACTTCTTCATTCTTCACTGCTGGAACACTTATTCATTCTTCACTGCTGGAACACCTATTCACTCTTCACTGCTGGAGGTCGTCATTCTTCACTGCTGGAAAGCGTCATTCTTCACTGCTGGAACACTTCTTCTTTCTTCACTGCTGGAACACCTATTCATTCTTCACTGCTGGAACTCGTCATTCTTCACTGCTGGAACTCATCATTCTTCACTGCTGGAACTCGTCATTCTTCACCTCCGGAACACTTCTTCATTCTTCACTGCTGGAACACCTATTCACTCTTCACTGGTGGAACACCTCTTCACTCTTCACTGTTGGAACACTTTATTCTTCAGTGATGGAACACCTCTTCATTCTTCACTGCTGGAACTCTTCATTCTTCATTTCCGGAACACCTCTTCATTCTTCACTGCTGAAACTCTTCATTCTTCACTTCTGGAACACCTCTTCATTCTTCAGTGCTGGAACACCTCTTTATTCTCCACTGCTTGAACACCTCTTCATTTTTCACTGCTGGAACTCTTAATTCTTCACTGCTGGAACTCTTCATTCTTCACTTCTGGAACACCTTTAATTTTCTCTCCATTCTTCACTTCTGGAACACCCCTTTAATTTTCTCTCCATTCTTCACTGCTGAAACTCTTCATTCTTCACTGCTGGAACACCTTTCATTTTCTCTCCATTCTTCACTGCTGGAACTCTTCATTCTTCACTGCTGGAACTCTTCATTCTTCACTGCTGGAGACACTGATCACTGAGCATCACCTGAGTCTGTAATATTTTGGTTTTAGCTTTGTATTGCTATGTTGATGGTTCTCTCCTAATACAGTCCGACATAGTTTAGTCATGGTCTTTTTCAATATTTGTCGGAGCTCAGAGGAGGGAAATGTATAATTTTGGATGACGGGAAGATTTGGTTCCCCCACCTTATTTCATCTTTAGATTAACCACCCTAACGCTAACCTAACCTAATCTAGCCTAACCCCACCAGGTACCGTTAGGATGGTTATTCTTCATATAAAATAAGCTTAGGTCAGGGGTTCTCAACCAGGGGGGAATTTCCCCCCTCAGGTTTTCAGGGGGGGGGGGGAACTGATACTAATATGGAAAAATTAAAGGATTTTCAGTATTATACGCATATTATTTGGAATGCACTTTTTGAGGCAGACAATCTTGGAAAGGAGGGGGGAATGACATTCTGACATATGGTGAAAGGGGTGCATGGGGCAAACAAGGTTGAGATCCACTGGCTTAGGTGAGTAATCTTCACGTAATCCATATTTTTTTTCCAACGCCGAGAAAGTGTGAACGAATCTTGATAAACGCAACAACTTTCCTTCAACAAGCTTTGCTTATATCGAACACAAGGACTCACCACGAGCCTAAAAGACACTTGTTTATCACTTGGGTTTTTTATTATTTTTATAACAGGGAGAACCACATATTTACCTGTAAAACACCCATGTGAATTGCATTAGAAAAACAGGTTTGGTTTATCTGAAATAATAATAATAATAATAATAATAGCACGGCGCTAACAGCCAACATTATTTGAGAGAATAGCCACACCCTTACACCACTACTGCACCGCTCTCACTTAATGGATCAATCAGTTGACAGAGGGAGGCCCGCGGGGACTATTATTTAATTCACAAACTGGTTTGATCCAGAATTTTTCACTTAATGCCTTCTCCTTCTATTGTCAATGATGAACAAACCTTCTTTGGTAATCTAAGACGTTAAATTGTTTTGGGTCTCCCGTATAATAGGAGACTCACTGGCTGCCCGGAATGTTTTAAGGTGGCCGGGCGTAAGGTCACCTCATACAAATAATTCAAGGTATAAAAGCTGCATCACATTACAACACCCGCACCCTTTGTTTGTCAGCTGGATAATGTGGTCTCAAGGTATAGCTCAGGAAGACAGGACAACTAGCCAACAGCACTGGTTATAATTACCCCGGAACACGATCCATTCATCGATTTACGGCCAGGTTCCCAATTACTGTTCTGTCGTGTACACAGAGGCAAATTGCACAAAAGAAACTTGACCAGAGGTCCACACTGCCTGGGGCACTGAAAATATTAACCAGGATAAGAATGCTTGAGGTTAATGTTATTCACGCCTCTGACAGATAGGATAACAACTTGCCGTGCTAAGAACAGCATGCAGCCAACCTCGCCCACTACCCTGGCACTAACACATGAACGACACCCTTGGCACAGTGACACATTGTATTAACATTTGAAGATAAAGTACCTACCTTCCCTTAACTGGGGTGGGAAGTACACAGCAACAGTACCTACCTTCCTTCATCACGTGGATAAATAAATAGGGACAGTACTTACCTGGCAAGGGTCGAGCCTGAAGTCGCCTTGAGACGCTTCGGCGTTTGTCCTCCACGTCTTGGTTCAAAGATGGGGTGTGTTGTCTCCACTCTCCATGGCCACAGTAAGGCTTGGTCCACCATCCACCATGGCCACAGTCAGGTGTGGTCCACCATCCATCGTGGTCACAGTCAGATGTGGTCCACCATCCACCTTGGCCACAGTCAGATGTGGTCCACCATCCATCGAGGTCACAGTCAGATGTGGTCCACCATCCACCATGGCCAGAGTCAGGTGTGGTCCACCATCCATCGTGGCCACAGTCAGATGTGGTCCACCATCCATCGTGGTCACGGTCACAGTCAGATGTGGTCCACCATCCACCTTGGCCACAGTCAGATGTGGTCCACCATCCATCGTGGCCACAGTCAGATGTGGTCCACCATCCATCGTGGTCACAGTCAGATGTGGTCCACCATCCACCATGGCCACAGTGGCCACAGTCATCCACCATCCATCGTGGTCCCACCATCCAGGCCACAGTCAGATGTGGTCCACCATCCACCATCCATCGTGGCCACAGTCAGATGTGGTCCACCATCCACCATGGCCACAGTCAGATGTGGTCCACCATCCATCGTGGCCACAGTCAGATGTGGTCCACCATCCACCATGGCCACAGTCAGATGTGGTCCACCATCCATCGTGGCCACAGTCATATGTGGTCCACCATCCACCATGGCCACAGTCAGATGTGGTCCACCATCCATCGTGGCCACAGTCAGATGTGGTCCACCATCCAATATGGTCACAGCCAAGTGTGGTCCACCATCCATCGTGGCCACAGTCAGATGTGGTCCACCATCCACCATGGCCACAGTCAGATGTGGTCCACCATCCATCGTGGCCACAGTCAGATGTGGTCCACCATCCACCATGGCCACAGTCAGATGTGGTCCACCATCCATCGTGGCCACAGTCAGATGTGGTCCACCATCCACCATGGCCACAGTCAGATGTGGTCCACCATCCATTTTGGCCAGAGTCAGGTGTGGTCCACCATCCATCATGGCCACAGTCATATGTGGTCCACCATCCACAATGGCCAGAGTCAGATGTGGTCCACCATCCATCATGGCCACAGTCATATGTGGTCCACCATCCACTATGGCCACAGTCAGATGTCCACCATCCATCGTGGCCAGTCAGATGTGGTCCACCATTCACCATGGCCATAGTCAGAAGTGGTCCACCATCCATTTTGGCCAGAGTCAGGTGTGGTCCACCATCCATCATGGCCACAGTCATATGTGGTCCACCATCCACAATGGCCAGAGTCAGATGTGGTCCACCATCCATCATGGCCACAGTCATATGTGGTCCACCATCCACTATGGCCACAGTCAGATGTGGTCCACCATCCATCGTGGCCACAGTCAGATGTGGTCCACCATCCACCATGGCCATAGTCAGAAGTGGTCCACCATCCACTATGGCCACAGTCAGATGTGGTCCACCAACCACCTTGGCCATAGTCAGGTGTGGCCCACCATCCATTTTGACCACATTCAGGTGTGGTCCACCAACCAATATAGCCAGAACCAAGTGTGGTCCACCATTCATCATGGCCACAGTCATATGTGATCCACCATCCACTATGGCCACAGTCAGATGTGGTCCACCAACCACCTTGGCCATAGTCAGGTGTGGCCCACCATCCATTTTGACCACATTCAGGTGTGGTCCACCAACCAATATAGCCAGAACCAAGTGTGGTCCACCATTCATCATGGCCACAGTCATATGTGATCCACCATCCACTATGGCCACAGTCAGATGTGGTCCACCAACCACCTTGGCCATAGTCAGGTGTGGCCCACCATCCATTTTGACCACATTCAGGTGTGGTCCACCAACCAATATAGCCAGAACCAAGTGTGGTCCACCATCCACCATGGCCATAGTCAGGTGTGGTCCACCATCCACCATAGCCACACTTAGATGTGGTGCACCATCCATCATGGCCACACTTAGATATGGGCCACCATCCACCGTGGCCATGGGTGATCTGAGGCACACCAGGCCACCCCCTCCTGGACCAGTTGATGGAAGAAGGTTTTTCCATTCTGAAATATAAAGTGAAACATATAAATTAATGAATAAATAATTACATGAATTTACTAATTAATAAATTAATAGATACACGAGGATTGTGTAAAAAGTTGAATGAATGTAGCAGATATACACTACAGTCATTACATGGCTACTGTAAACGATTATGATCACACCTAACTACAATTACAAATTAAATATAACCAATTGCAACCATGATTGCATGACATGTAAGTATGATCACAAACGTGATTACTTCTAAAATTAATATATACTACTTTGATCTCTATCACAACCCCAGCATCTCGCCCAAGCTTACCTCAAAAGACACAGAGCTGGACAACAATGATATACTGCTATGGCTAGCTTTAAGTAGGGTAGACTTCATGAAATACTCTTTAGGAGTACCCAAATACTCAGTCATGGTTGATGAATAAAATCCTGGGTGAAAAGGACCAACAGAAACACTTTGGTAAATCTTCCTTATTTACATATATTTACAAATAAAGGGTACAAGACATAATATAAATGCACTTTCTACCTAATCGGGAGTTCAGCATAAGCACCACTGACTCCCACCTAACATTCCCTAGGAAAAAGAAGGACAAACCTTAACTACATGGCTCAGACAGAGGAGACAGGCAAAGACAGACATCTCTACCAGCCAGAGCTGGAACAAGGACAGAGAGAGGGACAGCCTGTGGATCTTGACCTAGGCTACTCAGTAAGCTCCACCCATCAGTGTAAGTCAGATGATCGTTATTTAATTTACTAAGCTTACTTATACTACAAAGCAAAGTTTTAATGGGAAGAGGTAGGACTGTCTATGGGAGTGAAATAGGTAATTAATATGAGCTAAAATACATGTTATAACAATGAGTACACAATCAACGACCAATGGGCAAAATACAACTCAAGGGGCCCGCCCATGACTTTCTGTGGATGATGTAACCGAGCACGAGGTTTCAAGCACAGTGGGCCATGGGGTATGATGCAATAACATAGGAAAGCTCCAAAGTCTGAATAGAGAGAATGCCTGACTCAGAGATAATACAGATATATAAATATAGATATGAATAATAAGCACATTCTTGTGACATCTTTCAATAAAAAAGAAATTAAATGCATTAATACTGAGAACCGTTGTAAGCGCATAATAGCAAATTTAATGAAAACCCACAGCGTAATAAAATAATAAATTTACCAAATAAAAACAATTACAGTATAATATATAGTTTAGAAGATACAGTTGTAGCAGAGTGTATGTGGCCAGTAGTCAAAGTTCTCTTCCTAATGTATGAATTTTCTCTTTCCTAGGACCACATACACATGTACTGTCGGGGTCAAAAGTCTTGAACACTTAGCAATATCTGGCATCTACTTCTGAGTTATACATATATGATTGGGATATACTAATAACACTACTTGTCATCACATATAATTATGCCTGAACTACAAAATGGGATAAAACTCTCCTTAAAACCTAAGATCTTCGGGTACTTACATGCCAAATAATGTCAAGTGTTCAAGACTTTTGACCCCGACTGTACGTAAAAGAAGATATCGTACTCACGATAGAGGTGAGAAAGGAAACCCACAATAGCGTTTTCTTTATGTATATTGTATGTACAGTGCATTAAGATGCAGGGGAGTTGTTGTGTTGTAGAGAAGCTTGTTGAGAGGAGGACTTGCTGGTTTGAGAGCTTGGAGTAGAATGACCTTGTAGGGTTTCGTGATATAATGTTGTCTAGCACTCAGGATGGATGGAAACTCTAAGGTGGTGGTTTTCTTATATAATATAAGTTATATGGTAGACAGTCTGGTGCTGGAGGTGCCGTGTGGTGAGGAGCTGCTCAGTAGACACGTTCGGTGAGTAGCGTGTTGATGGAGGTAGATGTGCAGGAGCTTCGTTAGAGAAGATGTTGCCTGTTGCTGGCCTCCAGGTTGAATGAGAATGGGACAGCGAGGAGCTTGCTTGGAGGAGGTGTTGCGTGTTCAGGAACCGAGAGCAGAATAAGAGAGCTGGTTGGTGAGGACGCTCAGAGAAGGACAGCTGGTGGGTCGCCATGCTCGCCGGCGGGAGCGAGGACCGCCAGGCAGGCGGAGGAGAAGCGAGGGCCGCCAGGCAGCGGCGGAGGAGGAGGTGTTGCGTGTTCAGTAAGAGAGGCCAGAATGAATCTCAATGGAGAGACAGAGCTTATATACCCAGCAGCCGTGAGTCATCCGTGAGTCAACCTGGGAAACCCCGGGAAGTAGCCGGTCTTTTGACTCAGTTGCTAGGATACTGTGGCATCTGGTGACGCCCCCCCCCCTGGGCCGCTCGTTTGGTTGCTAGGGAAGACGTAGCAGGTGGCATGCAGCTACGCAGTTGTAGGGGAGACGTCCACTACAACCTTCTTGACTTGACTTGACGTCTGTAGATAAGGTAGAGGTCTATTGCTCGTAATGCTGAGTGGGAGGACAAGGATTAGGATTGGAAGTACTTTGATTGCAATTGGGGGGAGGGAGGGGGGCTGGTTTAGGATTAAGGTAAAAGGGGAAGGAAAATTGAAGGAAAGTAAGAGATTAACAGTATCCGGGCTCAACCAGATATGCTGAGGTTATAATAATTATATTTGAACTTACATCTTGCATGATTAGGTTCTAGCTCCCAAGCCTTTTTCATTTAGTTAAAAACATGTTTATTTTTGCAGTAGCCATTGTTCCAAGGAAGGGGTGACGACCTCTAGCCAGGTTCTTGTGGAGCTGGCTGAGCAACGTATCTTTTGTTTTAATAAGAGTGGAAGGAAGGGGCAAGAAGACAAGTGTTGGAGAGGCCAAGGATAGTGTCCTTTGGTCACTCTCATCTTTTTAATGAAATATTTTGTTTCGTTTTAGAGAATTGAAGCTTTTGTTTATAGTTGGGAGGTTTAATTTCTAAGAAGAGGTGTAGGATCCTACTTGCTACTTTTGTTCGCAAGGAGATGGTCCTTCATTTTTGGTTTAATTGAAAGATTGAAGCTTGACTTGAAGGTACAGTATTTATTTGGCTATACAGTTATTTTTGTTTTTGTATTAAATTTGATAATTTTTAGTTGCATTTTGGTATTGGTGGTGGATTGTTGACTCTTATTCTGCTTAATCTGAACCAGGCGTGTTCTTCTCTTGCTCTTCTTACTGTTTCGTTGTCGAGCCAGTTAACTACAGTTTCTGAGTCTCGTACTTGTTCCCATATTCTTTTGGCTTGGATGTAGTTGTCTACGTTTATTGCGTTGATGTTGGCTCTTCTATGGAGTTCTTCGTTTGTTACTCTTTCTTCGTAACTGATGTTATATATGAATCTTAGGCTTTTATTTTGTACCGTTTGAAGTTTCTTGATTCTCGTTGCACTGAATGGGTTGGTTGATACAGGCGGTGTAATGGTCATGATAAGAGCTAACCTGAAAACCTTAAGGATTCATATTACGCTCAAACGTCCACAAAACCTTCCGAGTCCCCCAGTGGAAACGTTCCCCGTTTTCTCGGTTTCCCCCGCCTTTGTCTATGGGAGCAGACGCTGTATGCTGGGACCTGTTGCCATCCAATCCTTTGTAATCAATTTAATTCTGCTTTCGATAGCTGAGTCAGAGCATTGTTAGTGAAGATAATAGTAGAGAATGAAAATGAGTTCATAGTCTCAATTTCAACGTCAGAGGGTACCGTAAATTAATTCATTGGAATAGGAGTAGCTGGACTCCCTGGTCTGGTTTGAGTGAGGGCACGCGGGCATTTTAACCGTTAGTAAGTGCCCGTCCCTTCATCCATACAGGTATGCCATTCCACGCTGTGTTGTAATTTGCCCTTCTTTAAGTGATTTGACTCAATTGATAGTTGATTGTGCAAGTGTTACAGTAACGTAGTTGATATGCTCTGAGTAAAGTCATATTTACGTCTTTAACGTCCCCTGAAACGTGTTGTTGTTGTCACCGGTTAGTAAGTGCCCGTCCCTTCATCCATACAGGTCCCTAACGCAGCCTAGGCCGTGTCTGTAGGGTGGATGTTGTATCCACTATGTCTGGGGACATGTCCGAGGTCCAGTAGGATCAGTTACCTTCGTGAGACCCGGCCGTCAGACACTTCAGACCACCTATAGCCCCCATAGCTGGCTCGTCTGGCCCTAACGCTCGGTCCACGAGGTGACCCTGGACCACCAAGCCACACACCACTACCAGCCCCCATCATTGGTGGATGAATGTCTACCTCAGTAGGGCTATATTTGTGTGGTGGAATTAACCCACTGGGATCTCCAGAGTTCGTCGGATAGTACTCCATGGTGGCAGGACCCCATGGCTGTTGCTTGAGTATCACTCCTGACGACTGAGTGTTGTAGTGGCAGTTGCCCTAGTATGTATGGTGCTAAGTGACTATCCTAGTTGTGCTAGTGAGTATGTCCACCCAGTAGGGTTGGAAGGGTATTGAATATGTCCACCCAGTAATGGTGTGAGTATGTTGAGCCTGAGGGCCTAGTAATAGATTTCGTCTGTTAGTACAAACCAATTCTTTCTTCTAATTTCATATTCATGTTTAAATAAACTTTGTATTTGTATAATTGTGTATATTATTTACCTACAGTATTTACCGTTATTTCTTCCCTATTGCTTGATACTATCATTACACCTACCCACGAGCCTCCTATCGTCACGCTACCAATGGTGATATATAAGAGTAAAAGGAATTGTTACTGGCACACAGGCCCTCATGAAGGGTGGCAGTAGCAGCCCTCATAAATGGTGGCAGCTCAAGCCCTCATAAATGGTGGCAGCGGTGGGATGTAATGAACATAGTATCGAGTTGGGAGGAATGACTGTGATACTGTAGTTTAACTGAGTGATAACCATTTCTCTGTACGGGTATTTAATAATCATTCCACTGTAACTAATGAGTATTTCAGATTGCTAATGATTTTGTCCCATATTTTTCCGAGGTACAGCTTTTTGTGGTGGTTTGCAGAGAGAGTGAAATAAGTTCAAAGAAATACCTTGGAGTTAGGTTAGAA